AATCCCTTTACCTTCAAGGCGAATAAAATTTAAGAAGAGGCTGCTATAGCAATTTTCATTTTCTTTACGGCCAACAAGACACAGCAATAAACAGAAAACTATATAATCAAATGAAATACAGATTTTTATGTACTATATTTCACTGTCCTATAAAATTATAAAATGGTGAACCTACATTTATCTGTGGCAATCATAATCTATCAAGCGGGCGCTGTGACGCGCCTCTCGCGCCTTGCTGCTGATAAAAATGGCTGCCGTGTCAAAGGCTTTGTTGTACGGGAACGTCCGACAGGACGCGGGAAATATTATTAGGGCGATTCTCAACTTTTTTTGAATAATTAATTTAATTTTCGGACTTGATAGAATATATCAAATAGTTGTATGAAAAAGGTCAAAGTTACGTAATTTTATGTTCTACGAATCCAACTTGATTATGGTAAGATTTGTAATTTTTTTTGTAGATTGCCTTTTAGCGCAGAACAGAGAAAAGGTGAACGTAAGACTCCCCAAAAATATCTAAACAAAATAACAATTTAAGTTTTATTCTGCACTTTGAAACTGATAATTATCTTAATAAATCTGATTTAAAATCACTTGTATTACAGAATAGACCACTAGATGTAATCTCCAAAAGAGATTTAAGACGTGTGACCTATGACAGTTGGTGATTTACAGTCGATACGGTAACTTTCGAGTTCGAGGCTGCACTGATCCGGCCCTGTTCTAACACATGCTCTACATAACAAAAGCACTGATGGAATTCCTGATTACTACCATGTCTTATCCTGGTTATAATTATACAAAGGAATTGACGATTGATATATTTTAAATACAATACAAATAAGAGCATAACAATTAATTTACTAAATAAAAACATGTCAAAGGAGTAAATAATTAACAATATTTTTATTTGTACCTATGTAACTTGACGGGTGTGGAATATTTCAGTCTTTTATTTTACCTGATTTTTTACGTGACATTAAAAAAATATAAATAAGTCTTTTCTTATACACGTCCCCTAATAAAAATATCAAATTAACCATAAAATGTCTATGGAAACACACGTTAAAGATCTCACGCATATATCTATCTAAATAATAAAATCTATGAATAGAAGAAACCGGATCCGGACCAGCTAAAATACAAAAGATAACCGAATAAATTCTATCTCTATTCACCCCTTTTCACAATAACAGGGACCTAGATAATCATAAGTTCCATCCCTTATCTGTCAACGATCCCCCACAAATAAAAAGGGTAATTGAATATTGAAATAAGAATAGTTTAAAAACATGAGAATTCATAGCGAATTATTTTTAAAAACAAACTTCAATTAGTTTATAAAAAAAAACTGATAACAGAAAAAGTATTTAAAAACAATTTTTAAATTTCTATACCACAATGGAATATTAAAACTGTTTATAAAATGACTTGAAGTCAATAGAATATTTTTAATTCGATGTCATGAGTACGGGAGTTCAGTAGATCGTATATTTAAAAACTGATTTTATCTGACCATAGAATCACATTATCACATGCATCTTTTGTCCTTTGTGTACGATGCCTTTAAATTAAAGATAAATCTAGCATGGGAACACATCGGGTCGACCACCATTTAAAAGGGTCCTAATACTTGTATATTCATGGTTAAAAGAGATGCATTCAAGCGGTCATTTTAATGTAAAATAGCTGTAAACAATAGGTACACCGTGTGATGGGACGATGGGCTCAAGATGGATATATCTATACTAATATAATAAAGCGTAAACACACACTTCTTTGTTGCCTAAGATCTTAGCTTTTACAGCACATTTTTGAATCAATCTTTTTTTAATAAAAAGCCCTACACTTACGTCATGCTTTAGGCTATATATTTTCACGCCATTAAACTTAGGGGGTAAATATTTTGGATAAAAACCCTAATGTGGGAAAGAGACCATAAGTTGCTGCCAACATCAAGGAAGCAAGGTTGTCATCACGTCATGTCATTTTGACATTTGCAATTGATAATTTGACAATTGAACAATAAAATGAAATTTTTATATTTTACGCGGATGAAGTCGCATGGGAACACCTAGTTCTTATTACAAATAAACTCTATAACAAACAAGAATATTACGTTCTATTAGTCTGTACCATCTGTAAAAATCAATTTAAAAAAACAAAATCATGTCCCAATTCTCTTGTACAATTGACACTAAATTATAAAACTGGTGTTTCTGAAGTGATGAATCAAGGTTCGAGGGGTAGCACACCTTTGACAAAACTATCGCACAACTTTTGTGCGATTGTCGATTGTTTCGCAACCAATTCAATTGTTTAGTTGCACAACTAACAATCGAGTAGTGTGCGCACCTCCATACAAGCTCATAGAAATGAAAGCGCGACTAAACAGTTGTGCGTTTGTTTAGTTTCAGATGTGCACACGCTCTTAAATATCAAAATCTATACTAAGGACATTTAGGTGGCTAAATAAGGGCTATGAGTGCGGCCGTATTTCTCATAATGCTGATGTCAATCTTGACTAATCCATATCAAAGTTTATGAGAGCGTAAACTTTATCGGAGTGACGAATACTCACACAATCACTATCTCTCTTTTTCTCACGTTAAGAATGTTTGTTTGTCATAAACTAGCATAAAGGTCAATGAACAACTATGTACGGAAGGGCTTTTAGAGACTAAGCTTATAAATATAGTAGTTAGCTGCTAATAAATACAGTTGTTATGAATAAGGATTGTTACACGAGTTTCCATAACGATGGTTTTAATGAAAAAACGATGATCTCTATTTGACAACTAGCTTTGGTCCGCGACTTCGCCCGCGTGGAATTCAAAAAAATATAGGTGACCCTATGTGTTCTTCCAGACTATCCTCTACATATATACCAAATTTCATAGAAATCTATTCAGCTTTTTAGGCTACAAACTCTAACAAACAGCCATGAATCAAAACTTTCGCATTCATATTATTAGTATGATTCTTTCTAAAATAAGAACAATGATGAGATTCTTCTCTATGGGCATTGCTGTTATCCAGAAATTAGATAAGAGCTACATCTCGACGAAAAGAGTTACATATATCATCTCCATTCAGAGATAATAATATCGCGGTACTCAACAAGGTGTAGCAAACGTGTCAGTTCCTGCCGGCGGTTCTCACGGCTGCGCACGCGCACCGCTGCACTAGACCGCTTACTAATGAGTAGAACAGACATGACATTTTATAGAAAATATAAATGTATTATTAAACTGTAACTTATTTAAAAGAATTGATCACTTCACCTATAAATCGTTTTATATCATTACTCCTTATCTGATTTTCAGTAATGATACATTTTACAAAACTCGACAAAATATAAACGGAACGTCCGCTTCACTCGTAAGCACAAAATTACAGATAGAGACAGACTCAATTTTAAAAGCTCATTAGAGAGGGACGGCATGCGACCGGTTAGCATTGCAAGGCCGTGTGAGGTGAGTGACACCGAGGCTTTTCGCCGTCCGCGTGACAATTCGCTGTTTTTGTTTAACAGGTTGACTTTTTGTTCGACTTGAATGCTGATCGCATTAAATGTCAAAGGTTCTAGACTCTAGATCTAATCTTGTGCATTGTATATATTCTGTGATCTAGGCATTTAGATAGAAGGTAAAGAAGCGAAATACTGCAGCATTACTAACCTAGAAAAGTTATAGTATGGTAGCACCTTTTTTTGAGTTAACCAAACGTCGTAATCGAGTCTACACTGAATTAAATGGATTACAATAGTTTTATGTGATTAAGCGTGTAAAATGGTCCACTAAATAGGTTCAAAATAATTTTTATTTAATCTACGAACTTATTTCATTTTCAAAAGCTTTTGTGGAGTAGCTACTTCAGGTTTAATCTGCATAGTAATAATTTAAGTCTAGTTACAGTCAAATTCCTCGAATAACTTTCAGTGTGCGTGTGTAGCGGCCATAGGCAACAGGCATGCGGGATGGTCAATTGATAAATGAACAGCGATGCCAGCGCCGCGTGCGGGGCCGCGCCGCAAAAAGCGTGCACGATTTATTTTATTGTGACTAATTTGATAATGAGCCCTCGCGGAGTGGCCTTCACGTAACTTCAATGTCGAATGTAAGGATTCTTCTAAGATTTTTTTTTATATTTCTATTTTTAGGTAGCCACCACATTATAACAAATGAGTATAGAATTAATTTTTGTAGTTAGATACCTACCTATCTATCACTTGTAAACTTGAAAGTACGAAAAATAAATTTCGATAGTTTTACAAAAAATATTTATTTTAAGGCTAAGGAGTGTTTCTCACGTGCTCCATTTCGAGTTAATTACTGGAAGCGCGCGCGGAATTCGAAAGGGATCTGTTAAAACTGGATACGAGAAATGCCACTAATATGACATTGCCCTCACCGGTATGTCAACTTGTCAATAAGATTGATTGGTGTCCAAGGCTCGCGACTTGTGACATAATTTTCTTCTCACATTCCTTTTTTCATCCACAAACGTGTTCAAATATATTCTATTCAACGAATATCAGTCAAACGGAAGCAATATTTTATTGTTTAAATTACCACAATTGTTTTAACAGCCAAGTCGAAGATACCTTTAAGAAGTTACGAGGCTATAAAATGTCGACCCAAAATGCATTATGTGATTGTAGCCCAAGTTTTTATTACTATCGTAACAACGCCATCTTGCGGCAGCTGGTCTAACCTCTTGTAGGTTGGGCCACCCATGGCTCTTTGTATTGAATTGTGATCGAAACATGATCTCAACAGGTATCTGCACCTGGCAGGTAACGTTGTAGATAAATTACAGTTCAGCGCCATCTATTGGAAACAGTAAAAAAAATCGATACATTTAACTACTAGCGCACTCTACATTCAGAAAAGGTAAAATTTGATAAACATTTTTTTAAAGTTTTTTTTATATTGTAACTTTAAAACAAGGAGTTACATAATTATGTTTTCTTATTGCAATAAATATAAAAAGCTTACCTTCGCGTAATCGACGGGGGAAGCATTTACTGGACAAGTGAACAAGCCCTCGCTGGAACAAAAAAAACATTGTTAAATTTTCATCACAATTTGCTACAAATCTTAATAATTAGAAAGAAATAAATTATAGTCTTATAAGAATAGAGTTAATTTTATTAGACGGTCACTTTCTGAAAAATTTTTGTAATCGTTATTTTACATTTTCCTATACGTAATTATGACGAGCTTACAACTTTACACACGTGCACTAATAAAAAATGTTTTAGATCTTTCATTCATGACTTGTGACATGAGTTAATTACATTCCTTTACATTTATTCAACAGTTTCACACACTAGAAAAATTCTCGACGCATGAATCAAATACTAACGCATAATCATAGAAGCGAATAAAACAATGTCAGCGGTAAAGGCATTGACTGATTGGATTGATGAACTTGGAAATCTGGGGAACTAACACGAAAATTTTCCTATTGATAAAATGTCTAAAAAAATTTAAAACGTAATGTAATAGCTAAGTTGTATTACTTTAATCAGTTTGATAAAGCGTTTAGTTATTTATGCAACATTTTTAAATTATCGTTCGATCAGATGCCATTTTGCAAACTGTCGCTTGTTTTCATTTTGACATAAACAATGACAGCTTGATGCATAGATAAGACAGCGCCACGCTTCGTCGATTGTTGTGCATAAAATTCGCTAGATGTCAGTACAAGTCTTTGCTGTTACCGCGTTCATTGCACAGAAATTATTCACGTGGATGCATGCGTTGTTTTTTGTATCCGATCTCGATGTTTCCTCGTGAATGATTTGTTTAATAATCGGTATAATCGGCTGGAATAATGGAGCGGCAAGTGTGGCGTGGATTTATTGGCACACGTTGCGCGACAAGAAATATAATTGTTCATTAAGAGCGTAAGACGAATGCGTCGTTTCTTGTTTACAAGTGTAGACACGTTTGGTTTTGAAAATAGACTCGAAAAACCTTTGTATTTTTAAACATTTCAGTTTAATTAGTGTTTTTGTCTTTTGAATTTATTTCAATTCGTATTCATAGTGTCTAACTGTAGATAACTGTAGTAAAAGTAGCGCTGCTGAGCCCAACATCGAGTAATAAATCCATAAACCGTTCAAACAGAGGGCGCGGTGCGGTTTCCCAACAGCTTGGGTTACAGCTGCTCTGAGCTGTTTACACCGTTTTTATTACCCGATACAAGCTATTAATAACGCAAAGAGCACGCCGTATCCCAGGTTCGGTGTTGAATTACTTTACTGTATAATCATTGTTCAGATAGCATTTCAAATTGTTCAAATGTTGACGATAGTGGCAGTTGTAAGGAATAGTAAATATTACGATAATTATATTAAAATATAATTCATGCGGTCCTGAATATTGTAGAATGAAATATATATTCAGATTCAGCGTTTGAAAGCAGTCCATATTTAGTTGCCTATCTCGTTTTTTAGTTAATTTATTATAATAGTTTACAAGCCATAAATAATACGTTGTCCTTCCTTTCTTTAATATGTGAATTCTGGTACTTAGTAGTAGTGTAAATATCTAGTTGCGGTACGGTTAAGTTTAAGTATCTACAATTTCTGCTGCAATAAAATGACGTAAATGTCGACAGCAGGAAGCAATGCCCGTCAGCAGATCATTTATTGTTGAACTAATGACGCGGTAATTTTTATAGCGGCTTCGTAATTACCAAGTAATATTTAACTGTTCCTTGAATATAATTTTCTACCACTTTACTTCGTTCTTGTATTCTTGTACTACGTTTAAAAATAAATTTTGTTTTTAATTAATGTTTTCAAATTGATTCTAATTGATTCAATAAATTATATTAATCAATAATTTAATTGACGGTAGGCAGATTTGTAAAAGTGATTAACAATTTACTTGAGCACTGAGCTTCAATGAGGAGTATTCCCACGCCCACGCTCAGTCCCACTTGCGAATCTGGTGTGGGCTAAGGAGAATGTTTAGTCCCACTTGCCCACGTTGCAATTCGTTCTGTATCTGTACTCCGACCTTGCGAAAAAAGATTTGGAGCCAATAAAAGATGGATAATAAGATATTGAGCGATTTTTTTTTCAAATCTGAAGATTAATTCATGCTGAAACAAATTTACCCAAAAATTTAATATTCAACCAACTTGGGAGTCAATTTTTTCCGGATCCAATCCGGAACAAATCGGCTACATGAATCTCTCGTGAGAATTGATTGAACAAAAGTTTTATTATCCTAACTACGAACTTCACGCAAGCCGCTATTATTTTTTTTATCGTTTTTTACAAGCCCAATAAAATATCTAAGCTTAAACCGTAGGTTTTAAATAACTACACGCTTCCTAGAAAAAAATAATCTTTCTAAGTTTTTAGCAGCAGTAAAAGGTTTTAACAAAGTCTACACCACACAACTCTTTGCCTTACATATTTAGAATACCTCAATGAAGCTTTTATTGTAAAAATGAAGACAAACGGTGTACATCTCTCAGTACTTTCTAACATTTGTCATTTGAGCTCACACTTGTCGGCAGTCCCTGCGTGTTGACCCATTTGCAGTACGGTCACACAGTATGGCTAACGAATGCTGCGAGCAACGCAACGATGTGTGCCAATGAGATGCGACGCGATTGTTTACCGAGTGTTGCAACGTATACTTGCACCATTGGTTAGCGTGTAATGCATATAACATTGTAATTGCGATTAATATGTACAGTTTTATAAAGAAAAGAATTCAGATCCAAAATATATATGACAATTTTTAAATAATGCACATGAGGTTTAGCACGAAAATTTTCGAGAAAGCATTGCTTCTACACAGTACCACTTTCTCGATTTTTCGTGTTAAAGCCAAGAAATTACACTATTTACTGTCACGGTGTATAAGTTGCGCTAAAAGGGTCCCGTAGTGCCGTTTAGTATCTATTAAAGTACTTTGTAGGTATTTAAATTGACTGAATTAATTAAATTGAAAGCTATTAAAACAGTTTAGCATTATTCTTGCTAAAATAACTGTAACTAAATGAACTGTTCTCACATCAACACATCAAGCGTTATCACGCAATGCTAGTTAGTGCTTGTAAAAAGACTTTCCACAGAGCTAAGTTAACAATAGACATGCCCGCATGATTTCATATAAACTCGCGGAAACAGTTAACCTACGAGAACTTGGTCTATTCTTATAAAAGAATGAGGTAATTAAATTATTAACTTTTAATCGTCATAGTAACTAAAGAGACCTTCGCCTTGTAGGTAATCATACAAACTAACAATAACGGTATGTAACTGCGTTTGGTTTTAAACAAATCGTTTTTCACGGTCTTCTAAAACAGTGGTGTAAATTAGAGTCAATTTTTATCTAATAACAGAATAAAAGTACGGATTAAGAAAACAAATGCAATATCTAACAATTGTAAACTTTTTTAATTTCTTTTTTATTTTATAAATAGACTAGACTAAATCTAGATTGAGTTAATTAAAAAAATCTAGTAGCTTTCTAATAAGAAAAGTATTTATCAAATCCATCTAGTAGTATTCAAGTTAATACAAAATTTTTTTGCAGTATTAGTATAAAAAAAAACAACCACAATCAGAAAGATCACTGATAAAACAAACTCGTTCTGACTCAAACTGAAAGTAATATTTACAAAACGAAATACAAAATGTTATAGTTTATTCAAACAAGATACATTGTCCTTTAAAAGTTGCGATGTCCACTTTCAAAACACGCTCGTTGTCCTGCGACCGTCATTTTGTAAACAAACGCACGAAAGGCCGATAATTTCTCTATACTATGTCGATATGTTGGTTGTAAATACAGCATTTCATGGTTAAGGCCTTGTTTATAAAGGCGGTGACACATTAAAGCGAACGTAACAACAATTTCAAACGTTTACAAAACTGTCACTTATATTAGGAGAACTAGGGCAGACAAAATTAGAAAACAAAATTTTCGTTAACAGTAAAATTTAAATTTGAGAAAAAATTTAAGTTACTAAGGGCCTGTCCCACCAAATTGTAAATTGTCAGATAACAATCCAACGTGTAAAACGATGGAAATATCGGATTTTGTTACCTTATCTTCTGCTTCTATCAGCCAGTGGTGGGACAGCCCCTAAACCTAGCAAGTTTAGAAAAACTAAAGCGGTAACAGTTAATACGTATATAGAAAATCAAGGAATATTGCTTTGAAGATAAAATGCACGTAGAAAGAAAAAGTTCATCCATTTTATCTTGAAGCAAATGATATATTACGTGGAATAAATGTAGGAAAACCGCTCTAAATTAATGGAGACTTCATCACTACGAGTATAACAGTAGTTCATCCGTTCTTTTAAGATATTTTAAAAGAATAAGGTACTAATAATAACGATCTTAAGAATAGTTAGAATTTATTGTACCCCAGGGTTTAAAGCTTAGAGCAATCTTACACTTAAATTCATTATTTTTCTATTCTTAGCTAATACAGCAATTTAAAGAAAATCATAATAAACTAGTTAATTAAACAAAAGAAAACAAACCTCTTCAACTTTAATTGCAATGCAACAAACAGCGATGCCTTTAAAAACCAACAAACTTTTCTCTATCTGTACTAATATTTATAGAGGAAAACTTTGTTTGATTGTAATGAATAGGCTGAAAAACTACTGGGCCGATTTTAAAAATTCTTTCACCGTTAGAAAGGTCATTTATCTGTGAGTAACATAGGATATGGAAAAAGTTGCTGGACCAAGCCAAGGCCCACAAAGGGCTGTAGAGCTATAGAAGAAGAAGAACATAGGCTACATTTTTAAATTTCTTTATCTTTTATTTTTAAATTTCACGCGAACGGAGTCGCAGGCAAAAGCTAGTAAGATATTAAATCCTAGATAAATAGTTACATTTCCATGTGAGTGGTAGCGCTTGCAATACGATTCGAATCAGCGACCTCCCGTTAGTCAGGTAATGCTATCCTCAGAAACCAGTCGACTGTCTTGCTGACCATATCTGAAAGCGATCCTCGTCCGATCATCTGTCGTATTCATGTATTTTATTGCTTTGCGTA